AAGCGGCAGCCAGTGGGACGGTGGCGCGGGGGCAGCGTTGGCAAATTGGGTCAAAACATCGATATTTCGATACATCGCCAAAAGGTTTTCGATGTGAACGAAAACAGCGATGTTTAAAATATACGCCAGCTGAACATCGTATTAAGGGCAAGGGCCTCCAGCTCGCGGAGGGAATTATTAATCCCTTTTTAATGAAGTGGTAGTATGATGACGAAGGGTGAAAGGACGATTCGAACCACCCGATCCTTCAATCCGAGATCGTCACGACACTAGTGTCTTAGCGGTCTCGGCTATCTAGATCGACGTTTAAGTATAGATGTTATGTTTAAATATACATGATAAAATGGATGGCATTTTTTATCCAGTTTCCATTTTTAATTAGATTAGTTAAATGAAATACCTTTATATTTTTTTATTTTTTCACGTGTGTATGTAACATTTTAACAAGAATGTTTATCGAATGTAAAGAAGAAAATACCTAATAAAGGGCATTGTGCTAAATTTAATTTTATTCACTTTTATTCACAAATTATGGAAGTAAAACGTACAGTACCTAATATTCGTAATACGCAAACATTAATTTAAAGTCAATTCTGTCTTAAAGCATTCCATCATCTTAATTTTATAATCAATATTCTATACAATGTTCAAAATGCAGTTTAGCAATATTACCACGCACAAAATCATCGAGAAAGATACCAAACTTTTATAAAAATGACGATGTTTCTGGAAATATATCGATTTGAAAAAAAATCGAAAACAAAACACTATTATCAATATATAGATGTTTCTGGTGAAAAATATAACCATCTACGTTTTTTGCCACCCCTACGCGGGAAAGTTGTGGAGAGAGGCGAGTGGAGGAGCGGTGGGGCGAGGGCTTTTAGCGAAGCTGCTCAGGAGGTGGGAATGGGTGGTGGGTGCGGCTCTGGCAGGAGCCTGAGACACAGGGGGGTGTAATAATCGATAATTGATGGCGGTGGTAAGATAGTGGATGGTTGATTATTATTTTTCAGGCGCATCAACTGTTGTGCTCATTAGTCGTCATTACAGGTCTCCTTGAAGTTTCCCCCTCATCTAGGTATCTCTCCAGCGAGACATTAACTCAGACCGGATGTGTTGTAAGTGCTCGTTTAATCTTCCGATATGTGTGGTAGTGCATGCAAGTGTAATTATGTGTATAAGAGGAGAGGATAAGGAAGAGGAAGGAAAGATCGCGCGCGTTTTGTGGCCCATTTTCAAGGCACTGCTCCGGCGTTGAGCTGATATTGAGCACAGAAACCACAAAAAAGTACCCCTCAGAAAGGCCGACCGCTACAATTTTCCTACAGCGGCTGAAGTTGACCTACCTATGAAGCTAATGTCCAATATCCGTTACAGTCGGTACTCGAATCTTAGAATTCCCTTTCGGAATCGCTGCAGTTGAAACAGTTGTTGCTTTAAGCCAACTCAACCTTCGAGGCGAGGGGTGGCGACGCACAGTGGAAATAATGATGGAAAATCTGGTCATAAGTCTAAATATCAATCAATTTATACCAAATTTGGTATGAATACTTTGTTAATGTTTAGAAATAAGGATCTAATGCCAATTTGCAAAAATTCGAAATGACGGCTTATTCTGAAATTATTAAACATGCATTTTATTTGTATACAGTATTATTAATTACAATTGTTAACTACAATAATTACTTAATTAAATTCTTAATACACAAATATGTTAACAAATGTATGTAATTATATGTTA